GATTCCGGCGAACCGGCACGCCGTTTCAGATTTTAAATTCTGGCAGGGCAGGGAAACGTGGCCGTTTTGAAATTTCAAGAACACTAGTACTCATATCGACCGCTTAATACGCAGCAGCGAACTCTAATTCGTGAAGAAAGGTTAAGTAGATCAACTTGCAAGCTCCTCGCGACCAACATATGGAAAGAACTGGCATCAAGGTCGTTGCGCAAGAATAAGTCCTTTCTTTGGGAGGAAAATTAAGGCAAAAATTAAAAAATCGCTATCACCTTACGCGTCAATATTTTTATTGCTCGTGTAATCTCTACATTCCTGTCGCGTATCAAAACTTTTACTTTTTACCGGCACCTTTTCCCTTTCGAGCGCGCACATTTGGGTCCAGCTCACGCTTTCGAAGGCGCAGTTTGCTGGGCGTGACCTCCAACTTCTCATCCTCATTCATGTAAGCGAGATATTCCTCCAAAACTCTAACAATAGGCGGTGTCAGTCGAATCGCCTCATCAGCACTGACACTGCGAACATTGCTCAATTTTTTCCCCTTGGTCGGGTTTACGTCCAGGTCCACCGCTCGGTTGTGTTCGCCAATGATCATGCCCGGATAAACTTCTTCCCCCGGCTGCACGAACAACACCCCTCTTTCCTCAAGCATATTGAGCGCATACGCTGTGGCAGCCCCACGCTCCATGCTTATCAGCTTACCTTTGAACAAGGCATCAATCTGCCCCACCGAGGCCTTGTGCTCCAAAAAGAGCCGAGTGACTACAGCCGAGCCTCGCGTGTCCGTCTTGATCTCATTCATGAACCCCAGCAATCCACGCGATGGTACATGGAAAACTAAGCGAGACTTTCCCCTATGCTCCCCGAAATGCACCAGGTGTCCCTTCCGTGCGCTTAGCTTCTCCACCACGATACCACTAAGCTCCTGATCCACATCGACCGTAACCTCCTCCACAGGCTCCAACGTTTTGCCCGTGCTCGGACATACTTTGGTCAGTACTTTAGGGGGCGACACGCAAAGCTCGAATCCTTCTCGACGCATTGTTTCGATAATAATCCCCAGCTGCAGTTCCCCCCGCCCGTGCACCTCGATGGACTCGGGCTCTGACGACGGGACAAGAGTGATCGAGACGTTGTTCTCTACCTCCTGTCAGGTGTCAACCGATGCTATTTCGTCAATAAGTGCTTTGCAGGAACAAAAATGCTTCACAATACAGCGAAACTTGTCGGTTTACTCACCTTATGAAGGCGGCCGATCACTTGAGAGCCCGTGACATACTTCCCCTCCTGCCCAGCCAGAGGGGAGTCATTGGCGGAGAACGTAATGGCCAACGTGGGCGGGTCCATCTTCTGCGTCTGCAGTGGGACGACCACTTCTGGGGCCGCTATGGTGTCGGCAACATTGGCCTCCACCCCCGCCAGCCACAGGATGTCTCCGGCATATGCTGCATCCACTGCCAGCTTCTCCATGCCGCGCTGGCAGAATATCTTGGTTACCTTGCCCTCTTGCAGGACCCCGCCGTCATCCTCCCTGGAGAGCGCCTTGATCGAGTCGCCAACCTTGACCTGGCCCGTGTGTACCTTGCCTAGGCAGACACGACCCACGTAGCTGTCTGTCTGCAGGCTGTTCACCGCAAACCTGAAGGGCTCCGAGAGGGCCTCCGGGGCACAGGGCGGAGGTACGGTCGCGACGATCGCTTCAAGCAGTGGGGCCATGCCTCGCGAGTGGTCCGTGTCGTCCATATCTTGCACCGCCCATCCCTCCCGCGCGCTGGCGAATAGGACGGGGTAGTCGAGAAGCTCGTCAGGGGCTCCCAGCGAGATGAACAAATCAAGGACCTCGCTCTCCACCTCGTGTGGCCGGCTTCCTTCACGATCGACTTTATTGATGACCACGATGGGCTTGAGATTCTGCTCAATAGCTTTAGACAAGACGTATTTGCTCTGAGCCATGGGCCCCTCAGTTCCGCATACTATCAAGCAACAGCCGCTGCACATGCCCAGAACGCGCTCTACCTCCCCACCAAAATCAGCGTGGCCAGGGGTGTCCACCACATTCAGTACGTGACCTTCGAAATCAACTCGCGTGTACTTGCTCATAATCGTAATCCCGCGTTGCTTTTCCAAAGACATACTGTCCATGACTCGATCCACTGTCACGGCGCTACTGCCCATCAGTCGATCGCAAATTGTGGTTTTGCCATGGTCAATATGTGCAATAATCGCGACGTTCCGGATAAGGTTTGGATCGCAAGTGGCCGTTGATATCGTCGAAAAACCCTTCCTATAGTTCGAAGTCCATGCAAGTGGAGGCGGCAGTCGTGGGGCCAATTTGAAAGTACTCCATGGCGGCGGCGCTTGTAGCACACGATGAGAGATGCGGAGCATGCCTGATTCGTCGCGACAGGACCCTAGATACGAAGAACGTTAATGACCCAGTTACCGCTTCATCAATGACGAACAGTCATCAGTGCCTATAATTTCAGTCATGAATGTGAAGTAGACTCGCATGATGTAGAGAAACTAAAAGCAAAAATTGGGAAGAGAGCAGGGCCACCAAGCAAGACTTCCGACGACGGCCCATGTCTCCTCGTGTTGCATTCAAACGCTCTTCTTCTCCATTCTCTCCATGTTATTCAGGACTACATGTCATCGCGACACCATTGACGTTTTACACTTTTACGCGCGCATTTCTGTCCAGGTCGACCAGAATCAGGGGGATTCCGGCGAACCGGCACGCCGTTTCAGATTTTAAATTCTGGCAGGGCAGGGAAA